CCCCAAAACCCCAAAACCCCTTTAGCTAAATAATTAGTTAGATAATGGATGAATTGAATTAATAAGTTTGATTAGACAATTATTATAATAAATAGAAGTAGACGTCACAGTAGCAAAATGAAACCAAGTAACTTAAGATCAATGTCTATGGTTAGTGATAGCTTCGACCATCCACACTCAAGACATCATTCACTCCACTCTGAAGAGGATAAAAAATTGCCTCCAGCAGTAAAGGAAAGTATAACTGGAGAGAAAAGAAGAATGATTATTACAATGATAATTGCTATTTCTTCAACATGGACTTTATATGGAAATATTGCAACATTTTATCCTCCTTACAGATTAGAGCATCATGACACAATTACTGATACTTAAGTGGGTATTGTTTTAGCGTAACTTTAAACATTATGATTTAATTTTTAGATTGTTTGAGGGTGGTGTCTTACTTTCTTCGCCATTTATTGCGCATACTCTGTAGCGATTCGGGAGGAAAAACTTCATGATTTTGGGTTATATTTTCTGTATAATGTCATCAACTGGCTTTGGATTGCTAGTTTATGTAGAAAAAGAGTATATTCATATTTCGTTGTTACTTACAATTTAGTATGGTATTCTTTATTTTATCGCTTGCATTGAGATTATTGTAAGGAGCTGGTGATACCTGCATTAGCACAGCATGTAAGTTGAATGATTTAATACTCAGGTCAGAATTGATTAGTCAAGATAATTAATACTATTAAATAGGTTTATCCTTAATATCCTCGGAATTCCCTTCTCGCAGAGAAGAGTTTGTTGGGTATGCCGAGGGTGCTATAGGAGCTGGGCTTATGCTAGGTCCTGTTATCGGCTAAGCACTCTATACTCTGCTAGGCTTTGAATATACCTTTTACTGCACTTCAGCTATTCTTATGCTCCCATTTTTGGCAGTCCTTTAGTTTATCCCTTCATAATACAATAGGTCATCAGATGATAGGGCAGGAAGCATGACATCATCACAAAGACTAGAAAAAAGCAAGGAAATTCGACTAAGGATGTTATTAACCAATAAAAGGGTGATTGTTGCAGCTCTCTCTTCGATATTTGCAATGATCTTCCTTTTATTCTTTGATACCATTCTTTCGGATTAACTTTTGGATATGGGAATCTCTAAGGATCTTGTGGGTAAATCTTTTTTCTTTGTATAACCATCTATTACTATAGGCTACATTTACTCAGTAAGTTGTTTAGTTTATTCAATCGTTTGTCCATTTGTGGGTTACATTTGCAAGAAAATCCATAAAATTTATGTTCTCTAAATAGCAATAATACTCTCTGCTATTTCTTTATATTTCTTTGGACCTTCAAAAATTCTTGGTTTCTCTGAGTAAGCAATACCCGATTTCATTTAATTTTAGTTCACTTGGATTAATGATATTTGGCATGTCTTTACTAGGGGTATCTTGTGCATTAATATTTGTGCCTTTACTGGGTGAGATTATAGAGGCAGTCCAAGAAAAAGAAAATATTGCATCTAGCAATGATTAGTTGAATGACAAGGCTTCTAGTTTATTTAATATGGCCTATGCTGTTGGATGTTTAATTGCACCTATACTTGGTGGGCTATTTAATGACCTTGTTGGATTTAGATCTACTTGCGATATAATGGCTATTGCAGCCACAGCTCTTGCAATACTATATTTCCTGTTTAATGCCCTACCTTTCTGGATTTATCAAAGATAAAAGAAACAAGAAGATGAAAAAATTAAGCTTAAGTATGGAAATATCTCATAGAAAGATAAACTTATTCTTAATAAAGTTGACCAAGATTAATTACTCCTAGAGGATGATGAAAATTTAGAAAAATCAAAGGAATATGAAAAAGAATTATGGCATATAAAGGACCAAAATACATTTAATACTTAAGCAGAGGATAATACATTCATCTAGGATTCAATAGTTCATTAGCCACGAATTATTGATAACAATGGTTGAGGATCATAACTATTCTAAAAGCTATTTGAATATTAAATATTATTTCATAAATCTTAGCTCATCATTTTATTTAAATTTATCCTTTAGGGGTTTTGGGGTTTTGGGGTTTTGGGG